GAAATAAGTGTCACTAACCAGACAGATGTTGGCTCTGTGTCTCAGCAGGCACTAATTTAGCCCATACAGAGTGCTCGTACATCATTTGTTCTGAGCACAGCTTAATTGCAAAATTAATTATTTTCCTATCAAACAGAGTTGTAGAAGAGGGGAGCCATGGGATTTTGTAAGCCTGATGGGTGATAATGGGATTTGAATAAATAAAAACAACTTTGACTCCTGTCTGTGCTCAGGACCACTAAGAGAGTAGTGCCGTTGGGCAGGAAGCACAGCAGTGGGGAATGGGGCACAGCTGTCACCAGGAAGGTAGGGGCGCAAGGTCCTATCCGTGCTGCTGCAGGGCACTGTAATGAGGTCTCCATCCATGCCAGGATGCCACAGCAGAAACAACGGGGCTGTGAACTGTAGATCATACCTCTGCCCGTCTCCAGTACACCCCAGTGGCTGCAGGAGGCCTCCAGGACATGCTGCCAGTATCATGGCAGGCCTTTCATCCTTGCTGCAGAGAGCCAGCAGGACCATACAGAGCTGGGGCAGCCTCTCCAGTTCCTTCACCCTATCCCACTCCAGATATGGCTCTTTCCCATGACACACAAGGTAGCCGTGCCCGGCATGGAGCTGGCATGGCAACACAATGGCACCTGACACGGAGGTGAGGAGAGGGGTGTGTGGCTGTCACCATGGCATCAGGCTGCAGCTGCTCTGTCCAGTGGTACATGACAGCTTGTGTCCAGACTGCTCCACACCAGATGGTGAGTGGTTTGCATCTCAAGACAAGCTCATTTGGTTTGTTCTCATTTTTGACCCTATCCAGGGGGTTCGCACACAAGCAGAATTAACAGAATAAGATGCCACCCCTAACACATAACTTCCCCTATGACAGGGCAAACCCCCTATGACCTAGGTTTTAATTGGAGGGCATCCTACTGAAGTGGCCTGCATCCTGAGGTGATGACAGAAGTGAAAAAACGTGGATAGGACCAAAACCACAGCAAGTGGAAGACACAGCCAGAAGCTGTGACTGTCTCTGCAGGAACCCTCACTCCTCAACACTGACAGGCACTCCAGCACGGTGCCCACCACGTGGGCAGGGCTGTGGTGAGCAAATTGCCTCAAAATCACACAGAAATGAGCAAATCGATTAGCGATGATAAAACCGCACAGTGACAAATCCTTACCCGAGCACGAGAGACACCAGATGCCTAGGTCATGTCTTGGGTTGTGGGCCAACAGAGTGTGAAGTCTGGCACAAAGCAGGTCACCACTGCTCCTGTCGGGCACATTTGCTGAAGTACAGCCTTTGGGCAACCGCTGGGCTGAGCTCAAGTCACGTTAAATTCTGTACTAGCACAGAAGAGGTGACAGGCCTCAGCTCCCCATCACTGAAACGGGCACCTGAAACATTTAATTCATGAATGCATGAAGCTGTGTTTTGAAAGGACAAAGCACTGACTGCTTGGGTGTCTTTAAAAAATAAGAAGTCCTCAACACAGCTCATTCTGAGCTCCAGCAGGAAGTCTGCAAACTTGCACACGTTTTTTGCTTTGGTATCTCCTTTAATGCCTCAGGCTTGTTATGCGTCCTGTGATGTCTGTTGTATTAGGCCGTATCTCTGAGTCTGGGAGTATCTGACTTAATAAAAACCATCTAAGCGGCAGCACCTACGGCGGGACTTCGTTGTTTCAGGAGCTCTTTCATCCTCAGAGATCAGCGAGGCTCTGGGCATGCAACCACTGCCCTCAAGTGGCATGAGCCGCGCAGGACCTGTCAGGAAACTCCTTGGCAGAGCAAGGGCACAGGCAGAGGCAAAGGCCTGCTTGAACGCAGTTGAGCTGTGAGAGGAAAAAGGGAGACCCTTTAAAGGTCATGCAGAAATTTACCTTTCAAGAACCGAGCCCAGGAAGCGGTCAAAGGAAGGAAAAGGCACACTTTGCCACGGATAAAACTAGGGGCTCGCTTGGCAAACAGGCGTCTTCTCCGAGGCCAAAGCCTCCTCCAAACCGCGGTGGCTGATGTGGCGTCAGGTCAGCAGCAGCCCACCATGGGCTACCAGCAGCCTGCTCCTTCCTCCAGCACTGCTCCTCAGGGGTCCCACCACTAGGTCTCACCACAGGGAGCAGCAACTTTAGAGCTGAGATGCAGCTCTTTGGCCACGTCTGAATGTAAATCCCCAGCTCCATGCCCATGTAAAAGAACTGGGTGTCCCAGCATGAATAAGGGTGAAAAAATGATCCTAATTTATTCTGCTTCTCTCCTTTATTCTGCAGTCTCTCCTTTGGCTCCCATGGCGTTTCCTGTGTTAAGTACAGGGAACCAGCAGGAACGCTTGAGCAAACAACTAACAGGCATTTTTTCAGTTATTGGGGTAGTTGAAACATTCTTGTACAGCCCTGCAAAGACAAAGGGTGAGAGCGCTTCAGTATAGTCATTTTACAAGCCTGAGCTGCACTGAGCTTATGGGGGAGAGGGTTCTAGGCGCTGCTCAGACAGTGATGCTTTGTAACAGCTTAATTGTCTGACTTGACCCTTCTTACATCTTCTGACAAAACTCAGCATATAGTCAAACATGGTGATGACGAGCATTTCCTTAGGAAGGCTGGGGATCTGCAGGAAAAAAATGAAGGAAGGGACAGAAAGAAGGAATTGCCGAGAACTTTGCTCCTGTGTTTTCTCCAAGTTCCTATGGATCTGCCCATGTCCTGCTTGAGCAGCCCTTACTTGTGGCTGGAAAACTTGTAGGTGCCGAAGGGAAAACAAAACACGTGCAGTACTGCAGCCACCTCCTCCCGCTTGCTTAGCCACGGCCCCAGCAGTGAGGCCAGGCAGTACCACGGGGACACGGAGGTCTCCAGGCACCACCTGTGATTTATGGGAAGGGCCCATGTCCCCAGGTGTTGCAGTGTAATGCTCACAAGGGTGTAGGAGAAGCCATGGACATGGACTTGTGGAGCCATTGGGAGCTGCTCTGCTGTGGGCACTGCTCCTCTCTGCCCAATGGGGAATGCCTGCACTGGGCTCCAGGGTTGTTGTTGATGCTTTTCTGGCCCAGGTGCCAGCCTAGAAAACAGAGTTTCTAACCAAAGCGAGAGCAAGCGGACAGAAACAGGGAGAACAGCTCCAACATTCCTGCCTGCCACCAGCAGTGTTTCGAGAGCGATGGGGCTGGGGAGGCTGAGCCTGCCGAGCTCCCCAGTGAATAGCAGCAATGCACACATTACTGCAGCATTATAATGCCCTTCAGCAAACAGATTGCGCTCAGCCAGATTGCAGCAAACCTCTGTGGTTAAAATCCCCTCCCCAGTCCTATAACGCAACTGTCATATAACAACTTTGCCATCTACACAGGCTTTTAGAACCAAGCTTTATATTCTGCAAGCAGAGGACAAGATTTACCAAGGGGGAAAGACTTTCTTGAAGCAGAAGGACCAAAGAGAGCTGTTAGTCACCAAGCTCAGCCAGGAAGGGTTGGAGCAGCAGGTAATCTCACTGCAGCCTCCTACAGCCACATCCACAAGCATGTAAGGTAACAGCACTCACTTTGCTCTAGTTTAACATATTTAGCTCTTTCAGAGTCCTGCACCAGGCCTAGGGGTTGGCTTAGGTTGATTTGAAGGCAATAAATGCCTTAAATGAAGGCAAAACCTGCAGAGGGATCAAGGACTGTGGCACCTGGGGTCAAGGCAGGCAATGTGCCGTTCCCCAGCATGGCCAATGCAGAGAAGCGCATCCCCTCTACAGCCAGGGACAGGAGCAATGGGGGATGCACAGAGCTCACCTGGAGGAACTCAAGTGTCCTGGGTTCATCAGCAGCAGTCATTTTTCTCCTTCTTAGTAGCTGGTGCAGTGCTGTGTTTTTGACTTTCAGCCTGGGAGCAGTGCTGATAACACTGATGTTTTTAGCTGCTGCTCAGTAATGTTTACTCTGACCAAGGACTTTCTGAGTCTCATGCTCTGCCAGGGAGGAGGGGAAGCCAGGAGGAAGCAGAGACAGGACACCTGACCCAAACTAGCCAAAGAGGTATTCCATACCACAACACGTCATTCCCAGTATATAAACTGGGGGCAGTTACCTGGAAGGGTTAGATCACTGCTCAGTTGGGCTGGGTATCGGTCGGCGGGTGGTGAGCGATTGTATTCTCTTCCCTTGTTATTTCCTTTATCATCATTATTATTGGTGGTAGCAGCAGTGGTTTGTGTTATACCTTAGTTACTGGACTGTTCTTATCTCAACCCTTTCAATTCTCCCCCCCCCCATCCCTCTGGGAGCAGAGGGGAGGAAGAAGAGGGGGGAGTGAGTGAGCATCTGTGTGGTTCTCAGTTACCGGCTTGGCTTAAACCATGACATGGAGGAACAACCCTCATCAGTCACCAAATTGATCCCTCTTCCTGCCCCAGCACCAGCTGCCCAGCTTTGCTTCCCTGCACACGAGAGTACTGAATGCATGTTGTGCTGTGCAGCCTTGTACTGAAAGCACAAAGCAGGTACCAGTCTGGGATGAATAAAAGCTGCCTACTTGGCTTTGCCAGGAGAGCTTGATGATGACTGCACTCCTGACTGGATCATGGTGCAGAGCACTTCAGGTCCTGAAAGCACAGATTTGCACTGCAGAGGTTGTTTTTGGCAGAACCTGCCCTCAGCACTAACGAGGGAGAAATATTTTAGATGTTGGTAAGGCTTGGAGAATGCATTCCTGAACGCATTTTATGCAGTGACAGACTTACCGCATCAGGAAAAGAGACCTGAAAGCCCTTAAGAGTTTACTAGAGAAATCAGTCATCCACGGAGGAAGTTTCTTCCAAGCCCTCCTATTGAGAGATTTATTTATGACCAGAAGCATAAGCATTTTATAACCCTTGTTGAAAATAAAGTACCATGGATGCATCATATTTTTAAGCATTAGCCTCAGCAGTATCTTATGGATGAGAGTGCTTTTGGTTCACTCTATGAAGTGCCTGCCTTTACCACTTTTAAATGAGTGTCCCTGTTGCTCTCACTAGCTATGTCCTCGTTCTCATGGTGAGAGCAGATGCTGGAAGAGGTGGGGGACCAGAGCACAACACAAACTGCACAACATATTACTGAAGCAAATGCGGCTCACAGCTGATTGCTCAAAACATGGATTTATGTTTCAACAGCTGCTGAATGATAAGAGCGGTGGCCTGGAAGAAAACTCATGTTTTGCTTGCATTAACTGGATGTTATTTGGACTTGTGAATCAACCCCTCTCTCACCTTCCCAGGCACTTACAGAAGGGACCTCTAAACCCTTTAGCAGGATGAACAAGACCAAGGGAGCTTTTGAAAGCCCAGAGTTTTGGAGCCCAGGTCACACACAGAGCACCCCCTTGATCAGTGTGGCACCACCATTCGCATTTGGCCAGCAGCACGGACAAAGCCCTGAATGCAATCATTATTGTGGCCCTTTTCATCATCATGGTATCTCTGGGGTGTACCATGGAGATAGCCAGGATCACAGCTCACCTCAGGAAACCCAAAGGAGTGGCAATTGGGGTAATGGCCCAGCATGGCATCATGCCCTTAACAGCATTTGTGCTGGGCAAGCTCTTCCAGCTGGGTGCTACAGAATCCCTGGCCATCCTCATCTGTGGCTGCTGCCCAGGGGGAAACCTCTCCAACATCTTTAGTTTGGCACTGAGAGGGGACATGAACCTCAGGTAAGGAAAGCTGAGTATGTGCTCATTGCCCAGGCCAATCTAGTTATATAACTGGATCAGAAACTAACTTAATCAACATTAGCCACCCCCAAGAAGCTGGGCAAAGGCTGAATAATGAAGTTTAGACTAAAGAACCCATATTGCTGAATAGGTAAACTTGTCCCTGTTTTACAACAAAATGGGATTTTCTACCCTTCTCTGAAGAATATGGCTTGCTGCTCCTGATGAGTGCAGGAGCACTTTTTAATCTCCACATAGCAGTACAAACAGCATATACATGTTATATTGATCCATATAGCAGCATATAGTTCTGTGTAAACTGAACATGCTGCCTGAAGAGGCTGCATTAGGGAGAAACGTTGAACTAGCAGAACACCACTCTCCAACAAACTCTAGTGATAAAACAAGATCCAGGGTGAAAATATGAAGCATCACTTTCTCGGTCACTGATGAATTTCTGAAACGTGAGCTGTACCCACAGCAAGGGTCCTTTCTGAGTTTGTGTAGAACTGAAGTTGTCTTCTCCTTTATTCATATCACATCCTTCTACAACCTGACAGTAATGTTGGTGAAATCTCAGTGGCAGGTTGGGAAAGAATAAGGTAAAGCCTTATATTGAAACCATGTCTCCAGGTTAGCAGGAAAATTGACATATTCAACTTTGAAAGTGTCATTCTTCTACTGCGGGGTCCTTTCTTCATCCCAGCATTGTAATGGCCACATGTTCAATGCTCCCGGCAATTGAATTAATGCCTCTGCTTCTGTACCTTTACTCAGAAGGACTATATGAGGGTGATTTGGAGGGCAAGATACCTTACAAAGGGATAATCACATCCCTGGTGCTGATGCTAATCCCCTGTGCCATCAGCATCATCTTGAATGAGAAGAAACCACAGTACACTGGCTTTATCATCAAGGTAAGAAGTATCCTGTGCTAGCTGCCTTTCAACTAAGGGCCTCAGGAAGTTTTAAAAAATAGAGGCACAGAAATACTAACTTCTCTAAGGCACACCACAAATCGGTGAAAGTGTTGGACAGAATCAAGACATCCACTTCACCTCTTTAATCACTAAAGTGTTTGCCCAAAAGGAAGTCCTCCACCTTCTCCAGTCAAAAAAACATTTTGCAAGCAAAAAACATTTGCAAAAAACTTCCTACCTTGCTCTCCTTTGTTGGCTTCAGTTTAACCTTCGTTTTCTTTTGCTACAAGCAGCACTAATGAACCTCATAGACACTGCCTCCCACTCCAGTCAGAACCAAAGCAGACCCCAGATTAAACAAAAAACCAAAAACAAACCAACCAACCAACCAAAACCCCCACCCTGCTGTTCTCAGAGGTCTAGCACAGGGCAGTAGTCACATCCCAAAGTTGGTGCTTACGTCAAAGAGATATCTGTCCAGCAGAATCCACTAAATCGCTATGCATCTACTTATGCCTGGAATCATCTCCCTGCCTCCTTTGTACATCAGGCATCTAAACAGCAAATAGGAAATCCAGACAACCAACTACACCACTGTCTAGCTTGAGAGCTCCACTAACAGTACCCAGACTGCTGCTAACAAACAACTTTGTGAACCTGTTTTTTGTAGTTTTTTTTCACTAAGGCTTCATTTCAGAGAAACTAGAACCAAGTATGGCAAGAAATGGATGCCAAGACTTAGTAACAGACCTGACAAAATTATGTTAGGAATCACTAATCTTTAACAAGCATGGGAACCCAGGAGTCAGGCTAGAGCAGATGCAGGAGGACCAGAGCTTTTCAAAGGTCCCTTTACCCAGCACAGGGCAGTGATGACTGGACTGTTTCAAAAGAAGCTGTAAAAGCCTATCATAACAAGGTGACCTACACTGCCCCCACTGACCCTTGGGTCACGTTCCTTTCTGCTAACACCAGCTTTCCATTTATCTTCTCTACAAAAGAGGAAAGGGGTAGAGACTTGCTTTTAAGAAACACCTGGAAAACTCCATCCAAATGGGACTCCTAAGTGGACAGACGAGCAGGAGAGCTGCGTATTCTGCCTCCCAAAATTCCCCAGCTCCTTCATCTGCCAAGTCACAGGACACCAATGAGACAACGTGAAAATATAGCTGCCACTTTCCACATGTGCTGTAGGCAGGCTCTACCTGCAAGTGAAGCAGTTTCCTCCCTGCCTACTTTGGGTGGACGAGACTCAAAATTTGAGACACATAGCAGTGCCTGAGAAACAAGTGGCTGCGGGAGAAAGCACGAGTCATTTTGCATATGGACCAGAAATGTACTTAGTTATTTAAGGTGTCTGTAGGTAATACCTCAGAATGGTCTCTTGTTGATTACTAACATTTATGTTCATGAAAGACACTTATGCATTCTCGCTTATACTTACATATGTGAAGGACAGAGAACTAGGCACAGCTGCTTCCAGTAGGTGAGGGAAGTTTTGCTGGGGATATCTTTGTTGTCCATGACTTGACTGCTTTTATTTCAGGCAGGGATGGTTCTGCTGCTAGTGTCATCTGCTGCAATAATTGTTCTTTCTGTGGCCAGTATGGGAAGCGGTGTCATGGTTGTCTTCTCACCATCCTCCTGGGATCTTCTGCCTTGATGCCTTTTGTTGGATTCCTGCTGGGCTATGCTCTCTCTGCAGTCTTCAAGCTTAATGGCTTGTATGTTCCTCCAGTCCCCACTTCCCTCACCCTGTTGCCAGAAGGAACAGATGTATGCCAGCTCTGGTCTATGGAGCAATGGTGAAAATGTGGGTTTTGACAGATGTAATTCTGAAGGATAAACATAGCAGTTTCCCAAAACAGGCCCTAGGAGTATAAGCAGACATAATGCACACTGGTCCCAAGTCAGTAACACCCAAACCTTGAGCGGGGAGAGAAATCAGTTCAACCTCTGCTTGGCTCATCAGAGAATAGAGGAGTAGCTGGAGCAGGTTTATTTGACACGGGTACCTGACCACCACAGAAGGGATGGTAGGTTCACTGAACAAGCAGATGGATGGGTTTGACTTAAGGTCACTAGTAATGTGCTAGATACACACTACCAGCCTCTGATCTTGGTAATGCAACTGGGGAATTATGAGAATTAACAGCACCACACAGAAAATCAACTAATTGGGAAATACCAACAGAGACAAAACCTCAAGTTTTCTTAAACACAACTGTTCCTAAGCTGGTAACTACCCCAAGCCTGTCAGTGGTTTCTGCTGCAGCCCCAGGAATTCAGGATGGAAACCCTGCATATAAAACCCACTCCTTCCCTTTCTTATCCTCCTAATTCAGGTAGGAAGCCCCCTAGTCCTCACTAATTTCTACCTTCACACCTTAGACTTCTCTTTTCACCTGGGAAGGAGATTACTTTCCAGCAGGAAGTTGCAGAGCCCAGAGCAGGACCTAAGGCCTCCAAACACCATTAAGCACAAAGTTCACATTTATAATGTGATCTGTCTCTGCCCATTGCAATGGGATCATGAGGCAATCCCTTCTAGGGATCCCAGCATTGCTCCTGATAAAGCAGCTTTCAGCAGGGACAAATGCACAAAGCATTGCAGCAGCAAGGTGGGCAGGGTTTATTTGAAGTTGTTTGTAAGTAAGTGGGTCAAATCTGTAACCTGCTCAACTTTTCCTGCCTCAGATGCAGGTGGACAGTGTGCATGGAAACTGGCTTCCAGAACACTCAGCTTTGCTCTACTATCCTCAAGGTTTCCTTTGCCCCAGAAATCATTGGCCCCCTGTATTTCTTCCCACTACTCGCTGTTCCAGCTTGGAGAGGGACTTCTGCTTATCCTGGTCTTTAGGACCTGTGACACAATAAAGAGATCAAGTGGCAAGTACAGCTTTGCTCCTGTATTTGGTACGCTTTCCAGTCCAAACTATATACATTTAAAATGTAACTACCAACGAGTCACTGCCTTTTAGAGGCAGAATCCAGTCACCTTGTAAACTCAGGGTTACCTACTCAATACATCAAATACAAATCACAGTCAAAAATTCAGAGGTAACTGAAGACATTAGAAATTATGATTTCTTACAACATCAGAATGTTTCATATAGCTGTATACTATCAGCGCTTAGAGACTTTCTGAGGCCTGTGCTTAAACTAGGATGGACATCCTGCTAAAGCTATGACTTTCACTGAGCACATGCAAAGAACTAGGGTGTTTATATGGAATAAAACTACACAAGAACATTAGATACTTTTTAATGCCACAACAGCTTGCAGCAAAGCTGGGATTTGAGAGGTTCACTGAACAGTGTCACTTTTGGAGTAAGAGGAGGAAGAAGAGGACATAATGGCTGAGTACTGCAGCTGAAGGAAGGAAATATTTGGATCTTTTGCTAGCAAAGTATATAAATAAAGTCCAGCTTAATTAAAATACGGCATTGGTACAGATGTGAGGTAGACTTCCCTAACTTCAGCAGGTCCACAATGCCAAAGCCCAGCTGAGTGTCAGTGAAGACTGGAGAACGCACTGCTGCATGAAGTTTTCCACAAGTCAGACTTCTGATGCTTCCAAACCAGTTTTCTCTAGTCCCTCGGGACAGCTGAGCAGCTGCTACAAGAGCGTTTTACCTGCTATTCAGCTTCATGCGAAGGATGACTTTTAATGGGGAAGAAAAACCAATCCACTCAGTTTGGATCCTCAGGTATGCCTTCAGTGCAAAGCAGCTGGTATTGGAAACCACCATACAGGCGCTTGCAAGACTGCTATAAAAGGGTGGCTCTTCAGGCTCTGAGATACAAAGGACTGAAACAAGATGGCTTAAGTGTTTTGGCAGGACTTCCAAGGTCCTCAATCTGCTTTAGATCATGCAGCAACACCAACTGCAGCTGTCACAATCTTTCCGTAACTGGCTTCAGAACTGCCTATTCTCAATGACATTTTTTTCTTCAGGTGCAGCAAACCTGCTCTGTGCTGGTACGGATGCAGCTGGTGCTCAAAAAATTAAACCAGTGTTAAGACCCTGCAGAAACAGTGGGAAAACAGGAAAACAATACAGACGGACTCTGCAGCAGCTGCTATCACAACCCCTCCAAGCTCCACCTCCTGCAGCCAGCTTACAGGTCTCCAGCAGTTCTGTGTAAGGCGTTTTATCTATATGCTCGTTTTATGCCTGACAAAGGGATTGCCACAGAGCTGTCTGCACCCTCACTGTTATTTCCCAGAGGTCTGGCTCCAGCCTAAGCCTCTCTCTGCCTGCCTATGAGGGAGACTTCTAAGTCATCATAACAACCCTTCGGGAGAGCTTCGGGCCACGCTCCCAAGTGACTGCCCAATTTTGTCCATATGAAAATCGCTGCCCACATTAGTTCCGTTTTTTATGGCACATGTCTGAAGCAGCTCCTGAAGGCATTGCTGAAGATTAATGGAATTTCTGTAACAAAGCCCCAAAATGAGGTGTGAAAGTCTCTTGGTGAACAGCCAAGACCCAGTACGCAGCTGAGCAGCCTGTGGACTGCTGGTCACTCTCAATTTCCAAAACCTGAGCAGGGCACAGTGTGCCACAGCAGAAGCCACAAAAACTGAACAGAGCAATGCAAACCGTCTTGGCACATTGAGTTTGGATCCAGCAAGCCATGATGAACACTGAATGTGCCTTGGTCCATAGAACTAAGCACACCAGCTGTTCAGGACACCATCTAGCTAACATCACCCAGCAAATATGAGGGAAGACTTGCATTAACACTTGCAGTGTTGCAGGTATGAAACTGAGGCACCAGAACAGGCTGTCCAGAGAAGCTCTGGATGCCCCATCCCTGGCAGTGTTCAAGGCCAGGTTCAATGGGCCTTGAAGCAACAGGGGTTAGAACTAGAGGATCTTTAAGGTCCTTTTCAACCCAAACCACTCTATGAATCTATGAAATATGCACTGTAACCTGGTGTAATCCATCTTGACTAAGAATAAACAAGTCTGTTTATTCTTAGTAAATGCAGAATAGATTTCAGGCCAAAAGTTAACATGTTTTAAACTGAAGTTTTGAAACAGCAAGCTCCCCAAATGAAATGCAGACACATCTGTTCATGCTGCTTACAAGACAAGCAGTGTGTTCAAAATAGAATTCAGAATATTCATAGAGCAGGTAGCACTTCATATTTAGCCTGAGGGAGGCAAGTGTCCGAAATCCCACCCCACTCCAATCACCAGGTGCCTTCAGCCCCCAGAGTTCCATTTGGAGCCAAGTCCCATGACACACATGATCATTCAAGTCAGCAGGAAAGATCCACTGACTTTGAGATGACACAGCTAACCTTACCCCTCTGTCCTGGGTTCAGCAGTAGCAGTCATTTTTCTCCTTCTTGGTAGCTGGTGCAGTGTTGTGTTTTGACTTTCAGCTCAGGAACAGAGCTGATTAACAATGATGTTTTGGTTTGGCCAAGGACTTTGTGAGCCTCATGCTCTGCCAGGGAGGAGGGGAAGCCAGGAGGAAGCAGAGACAGGACACCTGACCCAAACTGACCAAAGAGGTATTCCATACCACAGCACGTCATGCCCAGGAGGTAACTGAGAGTTATCCGGAAGGGCTGGGACTGCGGGGTTGGAGGAGGTATCGGTCGGTGCTCGGTTGGGTGGGGCGAGTTATCGGTCAGCTGGTGCTGAGATGTTGTATTCTCTTCCCTTGTTATTTCCTTTATCATTATTACTGGTGGTAGCGTGGGACCACCATGCAAGAATGCAACCGTGGGAGTTGCATTCTTTTTGATTCTCCTCTCCGTCCCTCCAGGAGTAAGGGGAGGAAAAGAAGAGGGGGAATGAATGAACGAGCTGCCCGACTGGTTTTAAACCACAACACCCTCATACCCACCAGATAAGCTTCAATGCTGCCTCTGCCCCTAGGGGCTACACCCCTCTTCTACTACACCTCCTCAGGTGATCCAGCAGCCAAACCAGGATACTACTGAGAGTGAAGCCTCCCACTCTCCAAAGCTGCCTACTAACAATCCAATTAACCATCTATCAGTCCAAACCCTTCCCCATTGCCTGCCCCCAGGAGTGCCTGGCAGTTTGATACTGCGCTGCCTTGACAGACAGATTCACGAAACACAAAGCTCCTCTCTCACCAGCCTGAAGCATGAGACCTCTGCAACAGACACCAAGCAACTCACCTCCCTGAGGGGAACCACCCTGCATTTCCTAGGACCCTAATTCAAAGCCCAGCCTAGGCTCCAAAGACATTTTTAAAGCTTTCCATGGATTACTACAGTAGTTTTGCAAGTTTTTAAAATTAAATTCTAAAGCTCTTTCTTGCAGCTTGTGTGAGGGCTTGAGAAGCACAGGGACTGCAGTTACTGCCCCTGCAAGGCACAAACACTAAAACACAGATCTCCAGGGTACCACTGCTGCAGGGCTCCCACCCACCAACTCCAAAGTCCCTCCTCCTCCTCCAGAACAAGGACTAACACCTATGAAAATGCTTTACCCACACCTCACTATTCCCTGATACACATGTGCACAAACACACCAATGAAGTATGCTGACTACACCGGTCTTTAACATTCCATGCCTATTATCCATAGTCATTAAAACCTCAATGACTTGTCCATTCCGTTTTTTACTATTATGACAGTAGGATTCTCCTTATTCCCAAGGTTCTTATTTCAGTATAGACACATCTAAGTACATGGCACAATGTAAAGTAAGTTAGCTCCTCCCCATACACCACTTTGCTGCAGACCCAACTTTGAGAAGTATTTTAACACACAAGGCACCGTCTCAAACACTTATTATATTAACACTTAAGAACACACTAGAAGCAGAGGCATGTTTCTTTATATTTTATTTGAGCTATTTAATTCTTAAGTATCAAGAATTAGGGTGCTTTATAGAATATTATTACCATAGGTAAGTGAAATGGGCATTTTCTTAAGTGTAGTGCAAGTCATATTAAATGAAAAGCTTTTAAAATAAAACTTTATTACCAGTACTGACCAGCGTTCAATCTGCTGATCTATAGCTGAAACAATGGTCCAAAAGCACAAAAAAATACTCTCTGAAATAAAGCTTTATGTACAGCACATGTAGAGCTCTTAGATGCCTAAAGCTATTAGTCTAATTTGAAACTGGGTGGCATGGTTTAGTGGGAGGTGTCCCTGCGCATGGCAGGGGGGTTGGAACTAGATGATCTTAAGGTTCTTTCCAACCCTAACTATTCTGTGATTCTATGAAATATTAAACTAATGTTCCGAGTTGCTCTTCACAGTTGAATACACTGGGAATTAAGTGTTCAGATGACTTTTTTTTTTTTGGAGTACAAAAAAGTTTAAGTTGTTCGCTTTAGTTATAAAGAGCTCTGCCAATATACACAAACTATACACTTCAGACATTCACAAAAAATGTGAGCAAGAAAAGGGTTATCAAAAGACATTTAATACAATTAGTCAATAACCCTTCCCACCATGGTCCACATCTACAAAGTTTTCCCACTCCTCCCCCCTCCCCATCCAAACCCTTCCCCACAGAAAGTCACATACTTACCACAACTTTTAGCAAGTATGGTTTAAAAAAAGGGCCCCCATAACTGAACTTTAAGCTCAGTTGCCACTGTCAACAGATCTGGATCTTGATCTAGACCTCTGCCGATCCTCAGATGACGGGGATTTAGATCTACTGGAAGAACCACGTTTCTGGCTTTTCTCTGGCACTGGAGATCTGCTAACTGATCGAGACTTGCTACGGCTCCTACTCCTTGACCTGCTGTAGGATTTGCGGCTGCGGGAGCGGGAACGACTCCGAGACCTGGATGAGCTTCTGCTACGAGACCGTGACCTGCTTCTGGACCTACTGAGGAAACAGAATAGCGTTGGTATTAGCAATGAAACATCACAGACCACTACCATAACCAGGCAAATCACTGGTCTCCCGTTCAGTTGCCTGGTCACTGACTTCGAAGCTTTCTTGGTTAACACTTAAGCGTTATTTAAGAGAACAGAAATCTGTACCTGTGCCTTTTGCTGCCTTCAATTAGTTTGATTTTCCTTCCATTAATTTCTTTACCAGAAAGCTTTTCAATAGCATTCTTTAAATCACTGTAAGAGGCAAATTCAACCACCCTACAGGGAAAATAAAAAAAAATTAAATCAAGCCAAAATAAAGCACCGATCTCACTATTACAAGTGGTAATTTTGGTGACAGAGCAAAACATACTCTGGGAAAAATAAACAGCCCAACAACTCAAAAAATCCCTCACTGCCCAGTGTACTCATTCGTTGTTATAACTCAAACAGGAAATGAGGGATTCCCCTCCCAAAATACAAGAGAATGTATTTTCAAAGGGTAGCTAAATTAAGCCAAGAACAGCTGCTAAGCATTGAAAGTAGCCAGCTTCCCTCCCCAGGTATGATACAAACAGTACTCTAGAGCTTCCAAGAGGTGTTGTTAGAGGCTTACCCTTCATTTAACTTAGGTCTGTGTGCATCTGCAAAGGTTACTTCCCCAGCTTGTCTCATGAAGTCTTTGAGATCCTAACACAAGACCAGTTATGTTACGCAAAGAAGTGACATTAACACTTATCTATACAAAACCAGATAAACCCAAAAGAAACTTACGACTACTGGAAGAGAAGATGTTAGATAAATTACAAACATGGCAACTGCCATACTTGTATTCTACCAAAATTGAATTATCTCAATCAGGGCACGAAATAAATGAAAACAGCATATTGCTTTAAGCAAAATGCTAATAAATGGTCTTAACATTAAGGAAAACATTAGTCTACAGAGACTATATAGATTAAATAAGAAAGAGAGAAAGAGAGAAAGAGAGAGAGAAATCAAGTACATTTGTATATATAATGGACTGAGTGTGAAATACCCACATATTTTTGAATTATTTCAGCCTCCATTTACATTACAAGTCTTACAGGCATACAGAATTACATTTATGCAACACCAACTATTTTGTGCCCCATATGTCATTAAAAATATAGTTTACTTTACCTTTATTAACAATTCCCTAGGCTAGCCAAGCAGCAAACTGCATTAAGCGACCGGAGATACCGTCATGATTTATGCCCGACTGGCTCTTCGCCACCCACTTGACGAACACTACCCAGTCGATGGAAGCCATTAATCGCACTGCGCTCCCTTATTAGGAGACTATTGATGGATCCAGACATTCGCTATGCTTGATGTTACCAAGGACCACTTTACTGCGATCAGGATTCCAACGACCACCTAATTTCGTATCTTTCAACTCTTTTCGACCAGGACCTCTTTATTCGGAAGCGTTACAGGAAGAACAGCTCTCAACTTAGGAATCAGATCTCGTAAACGCTCTGGGATCGCTGCAATGTGGCACTTTAAGGAGTGCATCGATTACGTCTAGACCGGCAAACACAGATCTAGAGGTGGCCATGTGACATTGTAGGAGCTGACTGGAAAGTCAACCAGGCCCAACCAAGAGTGACCAAGACAGAACGATTAGGATAACCCACAGGCACTCCTCGTCATAAGGCCAACGACACAGATAGGCTGGCAAATAAAGGGTTTAATATGTGGTTAAAATGGATTTAAATAAACAAGAAAAAATAAATATATATCCTCAAACATACACATTTATTATTAAAAATTAAAATTAACTAGTTAAAATTCAAAATATGTAAATTGAATTAATTAAAATTACATTAATTACATAAATGTTTTGAATCCATTAGATTTAATTTTAATTAACTATTTTACAAAATTATTACATTACATACCCATCAAATGAAGTCAAAATAGTTAATCGTGTTTCAACAAACCTGCCAGCTGACTCGGGATGACAGATTTTCTACTATGAGACGATTTTCTGTTCTTACAGGTGGAGCATTTCTGTTTGGAAACAAACAATTGAGGCTTTTATTAGTAATTACAATGACCAGCATCAGCATATCACCATTACTACAACTCAACTATGAGTGCCCCAAGTAATCTAAAACAAGCATTAAATACTCTGGGGAGGGAGCATACAGATGACAAGCGTATCTGAGAAGTTTTGTAAAAAGACTGACTAAAAAGGCAAATACCTTTTCATATCTCATTCTAGCTCAAATTCTTGGATGAACTCTCAGATGAGCCCACAGTATGCTCTTTTAAGCTATGCCAGTTCAAAGCCATACATACCTCCTGTCACTGCGTGGACGGCGGCTACTAAAACGGTCAGAGTACCTCCCTCTGCCTCTACCCCTAGAGCGTGCTCTTGCATGCTCAATTGTAACCCTGAGGAAAAAAAAAGACAGAAAACCATTTTTGTTTTACATTTTTTCTTCTTACGCATTCCTTTAGTAACAGTCATGGGGAAAAAAAAACAAACCACAAAACAAAAAATTACATTAAATCGTATCGATAACACACTGCAAGTTAAAATTGATGTACTTCTTATTTTAGATGCTTAAGCTTATATATCCAAGAAATTGGGTACCTCACCTCTCACTACAAAGCTCTTTTCCATCCAGTTCATAGACAGCATCATCTGCATCCCTCGGATCCTCAAATTCCTGCAAAACCACCACAGCAAAACCACGAAAGTAAAAAACCTACATCTCCAAGAAATTAACAAATGCTTATTTGCCACACAGCATACTTAGTTGAGCACGTTAACGGCATTATCTGTGCACATCACACGTGCATGAGATCCGAGCGCCGACCAAAGGACGGGGACGGCCGAGCCCCGCAGAGAAGCGCACTCACCACAAACCCAAACCCCCTCTTCAGATCGATGTCCCGGATGCGGCCGTATCCCTTGAAGAACCTCTCCACGTCCTTCTCCCTGGCAGCCGGGTTCAGCCTCCCGATGAAGACACGGCAGCCGCTCATAGTTGTGTGCGGCGGAGGTACCGAGGCTGCGGCTGCTGCTCCTCCTGCTGCTCCTCCTGCTGCTCCTCCTGCTGCTGCTCCTCCTGCTGCTGCTCCTCCTGCTGCTCCTGGTGGTCTCGCTTTCAGCCCAGCCGGCCTGGGTGAGGTAACCGGTGGTGGTACGCTGAAGCTGCTTCTGTGGGAGGACAGCCCACAGTGGCATTAATGCTGGTCTGGAGTGTGAAAAGCACAGCGTGTCACTTCATACGCTGACGGAATGGTTTGGGTTGGAAAGTATCGTAAGGATCATCTAGTTCCATCCCACCTGCCACGGGCAGGGACACCTGCCACTAGATCAGATTGCTCAAAACCCTGTCCAACCTGGCCTTGAACACTTCCAGGGATGGGGCAGCCACAGCCGTTGTGGGCATCCTATGCCAGCACCTCATCGCAATAAAGAACTTTGGATCTTTCAGCATAAAGCCATTCCCTCTTGTCCTGTCACTATGCCCTTACAAAAAGAAGGTCCCTCTCCAGCTTTCTTGTAGGCCCTGTTTAGGTACTGGAAGGCTGTCATCTGGAGACCATTTTGAGAAGGCAGCAAAAATACAAACCCAACCTGATTTTCAGTGTGGCTTAGCATAGGACTGGCATTAAAACTGATGTGATGGGTTAAACACAACCGCCAGGCTCTTTCATTCATATAGCACATAAGGGTCTAAAAAATGTGATGTGCTTGTGTGCCAGGCGGGCACAGGAGTCGGCAAGGTCTTGCAGGAACAGGCATGTCTCTCTTGACCATGATGAACAAAGAATGACAGAAGAAAAATTGACAAGGAGCACTTTATCTGTTTGCATCCTCATTTGGAGCCAAGTGTGTAATGACCAGGTAGAGAGCTGAGCTTTGTTTAAAGTAACTGCAGAATTTATCACAGTTTGGCAGTAAAGGCAAAATATTATCCCGAGGGGCATTCGAAATGCAGAGGACAGCTGGAAGTTGAAGATACTCCCACTGTTTTTCTAATGCAGATGGAGGTTACGGCTCTGTGACTGTCATTGCCAGATTTGTGCACTGCTTTGGCTTTACACAAAGCTGGCAATTATAGATGCCTCAGGATGACCTGAGGACAGTATGACCCTTTTGGCAGCATTTTCCTGACTTGTCTCCCAGAGCCCCATGCTGCCTCAAGTCCTAATCTGTTCCCCTTGAGGACTATGAAATGCCATTTTTGTTGCTTCCAGTGTCTGTTATTACTCAGCTCTGTGGGGATGATTTTCTCTTTTTCATGCTTAGTCACTGACTTTTCCATTTTTCCTGGAAAAATACCACACACGATACCACCTACTTCATAGCTTTATACGTCTGCCCCCGCACACACTCCTCAAACTGGAACAGCATACGCAGTTCAGAAAGGGAGAGTTATTTCTGCTGTGTGCAGAATGCGATGAGAAGGGCTACAGTGTAGCTAAAGGTTTCGCAAGAGCAAACTGCCTGCTTTTTTATTGGATCACAAAGATGAGAGCTTCAATTTGGAAACGATGATGCACACGTGGGAGAACATGCAGTAGAGGGAGGACTCTAAGCAATGAAAGATAACACTTGTGATTACCCCTGTGGATCGTAACCTTTACCTGCTGAGGAAAATACATTCATGTGTTAACATTTAACATTGCTAATTTCATAATGTGTTACAGTGCTCTAACGCGTGCCATGGGAACAGGCAGTCCTGTTCTGCCAACACTGGGACTCTTCTGACTGCAGTGAGCTGGTTCACAATGCTAAACCTGCAAAAACTAGCCCTGGAAAAGGCAGGAAGCAGATTTCTACTGTTTTAACGCCCTGGAAAACAGCTTGTAGTGGGATCAAAACAAGGGTTAGCACTGGACAAAGGAGAGAGGAAGGGACAGGAACACCCCACTAAGGAAGAACTGTTCATAATGTTCTAAAGTAAAAGAGGGGAGATTCAAGCTGGACGTGAGGAAGAAATTCTTTACAGTGAAGGTGGTAAAACACTGGCACAGGTTGCCCAGAGAGGTGGTGGATGCACCATCCCTGGAGACATTAAAGGCCAGGTTGGACGTGGTTCTGAGCAACCTGATCTAGTTGAAGATGTACCTGTTCGTGGCAGGAGGGCTGGACAAGACGACCTTTGAAGGTCCCTTCTAGTCCAAACTGCTCTATAATTCCATGATTTTAGCAGTGTGAAACTGCAGCATAAAAAGCTTTGATCTTGTTACTGGAAGGCAGTAATCTCTCTGCATCTCATTTTCAGACCACTGGGAGAAGAGAATCAAAAGTCAGGAGGGTGTCCAGGAGGCAATAATCTCTCTTTAAAAGGTTTCTGTGTTATGCAAAGGTGTTACAATCATAAAGGTCACACACTCTTTTACTCACATTGGTTTCCCAGGTAGGTAGGTCATGAGCAGGCACATGTGTTTCCTACCTAGTTTCTCCAAGTCTTATGTTAATGGGAAGGAGTATTTCTCCTTTTGCCTCAAGGCTGTTTGAAGACCACCTAGACTTGCTAATATTCTTGCTGCTGGCTAGTGTCCACACTCCTACATTCCTTACAACTCTGGGCTGCTGAAAACAACACAAGCAGGCTGAAATCCCTCTAGTTAGTTTATCAAGGTAACTAGGTAAATACAGTCACTATTTGGAAGCAAAAAGGGCATGAGGCAGCAGAAGACTAAATGAAGACTGGCATAAATTCCCAGCAAGCCACCGTTACCATTTGGTAGTGATTATGGGAAAGAGTTGATAGGGACTAACTCTTCACTGTCTCTTCCAAATACAAAAGTTGGATGTCATCAAATTAACAAAGTCCAAGTTCAGAATATGCAAAAGGAGGTGCTACATCACCACTGGTAGCAGACCCCTGGCATAACTTGCTGGAGGATGGTCTGGATACAGGAATTTTATATGGGTTTGCCCTACGGACAGCTTTAAACCAGGAAGGAGGAGGGGATGGGAATAAAAAGGAGCAGCGAGATAGAGGAACAAAAAGAGATTCCAATTCAGAGACTCTATACCTTCCATTGCTGAAGACCCTCTGCAAAAAACACTGCCCATCAGATCCAGCGTAGGCAGCTTCTATAAGCCATATAGCCAAAGACTCAGCACTTGCCCAGTTCTGCAGCAGTTCTGTGAATGCAAGCAAATGTGGCTAGCATCCTCTCTTGCTGCTGGTGAATATATTTATTACTTTCACTGTAGTTCTCCATGCTAAGCTCCTCTAACTTTCTTTACATTCTCCTTTTCTGTACACTGATTTACCTGTGCATTCTCTGTCCTTTTCTCTAAGGCTCTCTGGACTAACATATTTCTGTTACTGCTAGATTAAGTGTAGCTCTCCTAAAGGCAGCAGCAATGAGTGCTGATGATCTGCTTTGCGGAAGTCTCAAGGAGATGGCAAAAACTAAATAGATAATTTAGTATTTGAGCACAAATTGCTTTACTCCAAAGCATTTGGAGAAAGAAAATGGAAATTTACCTAGAAATAATACAATAACAGACATTCAGAAATAACTTTGTCACACACATTCAGCCCTGCCTGAAAGAAAATGAAAAAAAATAAAAAATTGAAAAAGATTATTTTTTTTTTCTTGCTGGGTTAATATTTGAACCCTCAGAACAAGTTTGCAGCAGCTCAGTGTATTCAGTTATAGTTGCTGAATGTGAACTGGTGAGGAAATCTTACAAAGCTGAGAGAAGTTGTAGACTGATACAAAACCATTTTACTGGGTCAAAGCTCTTTATTAGCCTTCAGAGGCAGAATCATGTGGGCTTCCTTCCACAGCTGGACCTTTCCTGAAAGATACCAAGCCCCTTTCTGTTCTAACTCAATGTTGCATGTACCCCCAAATGCAACCACTGCACTCCGTGGCTGTGGTCTGCCGCTACATTTCCAGGCATCTCAGATACCACGTTTGTTTTGAGAATCCATTTTCTTTGTTTACATAGACCCAGGGACTAATACTGGCAAGAGATTTTATTTTCAGCAGACAGCAGATTGCAGACACGGAGCATGTCATGTCATCTTCACCTTTTGCTTAATTGAGACTCAGTGTTGGTCTTAAAAAGAGCATGAAGAACATAGGTCATAGGAGGGGAAGAATAGGATGAAGTTCACGTATTCTCAAGCAGCCAGCATTTTAATCCTTAAGAAACTCCCTGAAGTAACTAAGGAACCATCCCTGAGGAATCTCTAGCACGATCCCCAATGCCTAACGTGCTGGCAGTGCAGTGATTTTTCAGCTAGCAGGCTTAACTTCAAAGGTCAGAAAGCTGTTCGAATGAAAGATTAAATCATCAATTTATAAGCACTTTCATTCAGTAAACTGTAAACTGCTCATGCCAACAAGGCAGGCAATCAAGAGCAAGCTGTTTTAAATGAATCCAATGCTCCTTATTGGAATAATTAAGCTAGTGGGCAAGGGGGAAAAATAGAGATGTGTTAAACCTGACTATAATAAAGGGTTTAGTCTATTTTTCTTAAGCAAACAGGAAAATGCCAAGGTAAAATCCATTGTAAGCTGTAAGCACAACTTTTTCGGAGTTCGTATTCAAAATACCTCCTTGACAAACTTGGGGACAGTTCCTCTGGGGAATCAGGGATCTCTTCTTAGTACAGGACCATTCAACATCTGCATTAATAATTTGTTAAGCAGATTAGAGCATGCGATGTTAAAATATGCAGATGAATCAGCCTGGGAAGAGTTTTAAACACTCTGAAGACAACTACAAAAAATCAAAATGAGTCTCAGAAACCAAAGGAATGATTCAACAAGAAGCGATTCTGCAGGAATAAGGGCAGGCTATATTTAGGAAGTATCCACCAGTACAAAATCAGAAATGCCTATTCAGGAAGCAGCAACATCTATAAAGGCTTGAGCTAAAGTGTATCACAGTCTGAAAATAACTCAAAATACACTGCCATTGCAGAAACAGGTAAAACTTATTCTGGGATGTGGCAACAGAGGGCGTGATATTTATGGGCTGAGTGATGATGTACTTAATTGACAGTAACGTAAGATTTAAGAATTA